GTTAATGTTTTGATTATGGTCCTTTCTTCTTTTTGGATGTGTGCATTTATTGCTATAAACTGACCTCTGAGCACTGCTTTTGCTGTGTCCCAAAGGTTCTAGTAGGATGTATTTTGTTTCACTTTTGATTCTATGAATTTCTTTATTCCATCCTTAATTTCGTCTATACCCCAGTAGTTTTTGAGCAAGGTGTTGTTCAGTTTCCATGTGTTTGATTTTTTTCCTTGCTTTTTCTGTTGTTGATTTCTATATTATTAGGCAATTTTTGCTTTTGTTTTTTAAATACCTGACAGGATTATGGGCTTTCTTGGCTCCTAAGCAAGACTTAAATGCTCATCTTCAAAAGTTCTGAGAAGACCCTGTGGAGTTTCTGGCCTTTTTGGTTATTATTGTGCCTTCTGGTGACCTCAGCCAGGTCACCAATGGTGCACACTTCCTAGAGGGGTCTTGTAACAGATCGCTGGGAAAAATACTCAACACATGCGCCCAGTTAAAAAAAAAATTAAAAATCTGTCGGGCAAAAACATTAACTTCATTTTCTACTTAATGAATTACAAAATGCCCCAATTAAAGGGTTATTAAAAAAAAGAAAAAAACAAAGCAAAACAAAAACCCGCTAAATACTAAATGTGTAATCTCGCCCCCTACATATTACAAATGAGCTCAGCCAGGTCATTCTGAGCCCTATGTTTTCTGGCTTAAAGGCTGACGTTCAAACACAGGTACTAATTGCCCACTTGACATTCATTTCGTATGCACTCTAAACTCTTAGTATCTCAACTTATGTCTATATCAGTCCCCTTCCAAATCCTTTCTGAGTTCTTGCTTTTTTCTTCATTTTAATTTGTCCGAATTTTCACCTGTTTTTATTGCGGTTTCAATAAAAGTAGGTCTTTGGGTGTCAACCTATGGCTTTTGCTTTGATAAGGAAGCAAAAGCTGTTGAGGGGGTGGTATAGGTCGTACTTACATAGCAGGGTACATAAGGCATAGTCAAGTAGCACAGTTTGTAGATCCAAGGCAAAGTAGGAGGAAACACAAATTATCAGTTTAGCGACCTCTACCACCTCAGGTTCTCACATTTTTTACTCAATTTAATTTGGGTGTTATTAGGCAACTGAGCCTTTGTTTAAGAGCTCAGGCTGCTAACCAAAAGGTCGGCAGTTCGAATCCACCAGTGGCTCCTTGGAAACCCTATGGGGCAGTTCTCAGTCTTATAGGGTTGCTATGAGTCGAAATCAACTCAACGGCAACGAGTTCAATGGTTTTAAGCCTTACAAAATGGTGACCAAATGGGACAATTGATGATTTAGGTGAACCAAACTGTTCAGTTGCAAAACACTTTAAAGAATCTTGCTTCTACAGCATGTTGCTCCTGAGAACAGCTTTAAGAAACCAAAATACATCAGGACCATTTTTTTAAAAACAGATGTAGGCATAACTGATTATTCCCATTATAAAAGGAGTTCCCTGGGAGATATCCAGATTGTTCAGTCTTCCACCCACAGTAGATGTCCCACAGCCAGCTCTGTTTTACTCCTGGGTCACCTTGGGAAGAGGGCAATAGAACCTTCTTCACTCTTAACGCTTAACTTCTTTATTCCTTCCCAAAAGAAAAATCCATGTCCTGCTACTTTAGTGCTACCAGAACCTTCAAAGAAATTTTCCAAACAGATCTAAGAAAATAGCGTAACCCTGCTTCTTCTTTGGATACCAATATAGAAGAAGCTAAACAATTATAAAGAGCCTCTGGCCCAAAGACATTCCTAAAATATAAGCCACCTTCCAGGGCGATCAGAGGGAAATGGGTGTTTCCATTGGTCATGCTGTAACAGTGGAGTACTGCTCAGTCCTGCTAACAGGTTGTATGCTGAGGAGTTTTTGTTGTTACTCTTGTTTGTTTCACATTAGCTCTAGAGGAGAAAATCCCAGCCCTCGGCAGTAACTCAGGAAATGGAAGCCGTGGTCTGTTCTTTGTGGCGCTGATAATCATTCTGATTATCAGCCTGGTCCTCGTTTCCTTCGTGATATTTCTAATACGTAAGTAACAGTGGCATATTTTTCATTACTTGTATGCACTTAACTTTGTAGCTGGTTGTTTAGCTTTGCTCCTGTAACAAGTAAATGCTTTGCGGGAATGAATGCTTAAACTGAAAGATGGAGGTAGAGCAAATGCCTCTAGTGAACCCGCTTGCTCTGGGACAGGATAACCAACCAACCAACCAACCCACCTACCCACCACCCAGTTGCCTTTGAGTCGATTCCGACTCATGGAGACCTCATGTGTGTCAGAGTAGAACCATGCTCCATAGGGTTTTAAACGGTTGATTTTTCAAAAGTATCTCGCCTGACGTTTCTCACGAGGGGGTGGACTCGAATCTCCAACTTTTCAGTTAGCAGCCCAGCACATTAACTCTGCACCACCCAGAGAAGAACCTGGTCAGGGTCACTGGGTTACAAAGCCAGTGTGTAACCCCACAGTGTCAGAAGTTCACAAACATATACATTATTTCTATAACACTGCTACAAATGGTAGGCAGCTTATTCTAGTGAATTCCAGGTTTTCTCAATTCAAAACAGTACATTGATTTCTCTAGTAATACAGGTCTATAGCAATCACATTCAGGCTTAAAACTCCCTCCCAGGTTTTGAATGGTGACCCAGGCTTTTCACATCAGCTCCTCCTCAGGAGGTCCCCTGAGGTTCCAATTCCACCCTCCTCTCTGCCTTGGAAGGAGCCCTGGTGGTGCAGTGGTTGAGCGTGCTTGGCTGCTAACAAAGGTCAGTGGTTCAAACCCACCAGCTGCTCTGTGGGAGAAAGTCCTGGCTCTCGTGAAGATTACAGCCTTGGAAACCCTATGGTGGCAATTCTACTCTGTCACATGGAGTCACTATGAGTTAGGATAGACTTGACCACAGTGGGTTTGGTTTTCCCTGCCTTCAACGGGAGTGAAGTGCTTTCCCCCTGCTGATGCCTCCCCTCCTTCTGGACATTGCCACCTCCCACCAAGCCCACCAGTCTTCAGCTCACTGTCTGTACCCTCATTTGGAATTATTTCCATTCCCAAGTGGAAGGAGCCTGAGGGGAGGCCAGCTTTGACACCCTTCGGCCTTGATACACTACACTCCCATTCCTTCTGCCCTTTCATGCTTTATAGGTCTTGTAGCCTTCAAAATTCTAGATGAGAAGTGGAGCATACATCTTTGCAATGGCTTTAATTTCATTTCATTCAGGGTTTGAGGAGGTAGAGTTGGTGATGGTTGGAGGAGAGGGGAGGGCAAAGTGCGTGACCCTTTTGCTGCTTCTAACCCCTCTCATTCCCCTACTGGCTTGAAGGTCTTTATCTAGTCTGGGAACTTGGCGGGGAGGGTGATGTTTCATGCTTCTCTTTCTCACACCCAACTGACGTCCTTTTGCACTTAGAAGCTAAAATGTGTGCTATCCTTACAATAATGGGACTCTCACACCTGCCATCAGTTGGGGAGGTGTGGCAGCAGAACCTATAGGACCAGAAATAGCACATGGGTTACTGTTCTGAAATGCTGTTCCAACATAGATAAATGCTCTGCATATCATCATGCCATACCCACCTGGGGGAATGACTGAGTTCAACTATTGGGACACTTTCAGTTTTCCTACAGAAATATGAGCAACCCTAAGGAAATTCTCTCTTCCCCAGTCTCTATCTTGATATATGTGGGATGAGAAGCAGTCAGATTAAGAGAAATGATAATAATACATGCTATAAACTGAATGCTTACTCTGTCCCAGACACTGTGCTAAACACTTGATATCTACTTGCTCACAACCTCATAACAACTATAGTGTAGGATTTATTTTTATCCTGGTATTACCAACGTTGGAACTGAGACTTAGAGAGTTTAATTAATGTGCCCAAGGTCACAAAGTTAATAGGTGCAGAATCGAGGCTCCAAGACACTCCTGCCTGCATCAAAGATCATGCACCTCATCACTATTATTACATTTCTTTTGCATAAATAGGATTTATTTTATATTTGCTTCTAGTGCTACATAATGAGGGCAAAATCATATTAAGAAACAAAGAAGATGTGAATAAATATTTTTTTATTGAACAATTACTCTGTGCCAGACACATAAAATTCGTTATCTCAAATCCTTCCTCTACCCCTCAAGGTAGTGTCTAATATTTCTCTTTTATTGATGAAAAGGCTAAGGCCTGACAGTATACTTCTCCCGTTTCAGCTGGCAAATAACAGGCAGAGCTGGGATTCAAACTAGAGCTCCCTTGTGCTCCACAGACTCTCCTGAAGTAATAATAAAGGTTTTTGTGCTTTTCAGACAAACCTGAACCTGGCCTAAGGCTAGAGTTGCCACCAAACCAAACCCATTGCCATCAAGTGGATTTAGAGTTACAACGACCCTCTAGGACAGAGTAGAATTGTCTCTTTACAGAAGCAGCCTGCCACATCTTTCTCTCGTAGAGTGGCTGGTAGGTTTGAACCACTGATCTTTCGGTTAGCAGTCGAACACTAAACCACTGCACCACCAGGGCTCCTTAGAGTCGGCCCAGGCATCTGTAAATGAACTTGGCCTGTGCTCTCTTTTAACAAGGAAATCTTTTTGCTCTCAGTGGGATTCAGTGCAAACTTGTATTCTTTTAACTGGAGCGCAAGAATTTGCATTCTTTATAAATCTGGCATTTTTACACAATAGAAATACCACTATTTTATACTAGATTACATTCTTATTAAACCCTTGGGCCTTTTGCTTTTGTCACAATCTTTGTTTTAAAGAAGAATAATGGACAGCAAGAATAAATTACTGCAGATATCTGTCCCTGGTAGGAGTTTTTAGTAGCCAAACATTGTAATTACACAGAATATTATTTCCATAGTATGCTATTAAGTTTTACCTTAAGGAAAAAAAGGGTTCTATGGTCAAATGGGAGTCCCTGGGTGGTGCAAATGATTGACATGCTGGGCTGCTAACCAAAAGGCTGGAAGTTTGAGTACACCCAAAGGCACCTCGAAAGAAAGGCCTGGTGATTTACTTCTGAAAAATCAACCCCTGAAAAACCCTATGGAGCACAGTTCTACTCTGACACACATGGGGTCACCAGAAGATGGAGTCAACTTGATAAAAACTTTTTTTTTTTTAATGATCAAATGAGTTTGGGAAATGTTGGTTTAGATAACGCTCAAGATTTTTCTTCTTGTGAATTTCCAAGAGGTAAGTTGGCATATAATTTTTCTCTAACATTTTTGCACATGAAACCCTTTTTTCTTTTCATGGATTCATTTTGGAATCAGTGTAATATGGAACACACTTAGGCAAACATGGCTGGTTCTTCGTTCTGGTGTTTGATGTAGAAGGTTCCCAAGAGGAGAATACATGTCATGAACTTAGCTGCACACTGTTCCCCAGAAGCACGTGGTATCTCTGTCTAGCTCTGCAGCAAAGCTCAATTAAAACTCCTCCATTATGCCTGGGACAATAATTCAGCTGACATAATTTTCAGACATGAGGGAGAAGCAGCTGCTGGGTGGCCAATTTGTCTCAAGGCTGGGAGGTGAACCTTTGACATCTAGTTTACCCTCTGAGGTTAGTTTATCAGCTAAGCCCAGTGGCAAGTTACCAATGTCATTAGTTCCTGTAAGATGCCTTTGAAAAAAAAACTGCCTGAAGTGGAAATGATGAGGAGCTCAGATAACAAGTACTGGTTTTGTGCTGCATTTCTTGAAAGTTTTAACTTTGATATGAAGACCTCAAAATGTTCCAGCCCCTAGCTTACTGTATTGTCAGGGGTTCTGTTTATTTTGAAAGTATTATGCCTCTGCTCTCAGATGTGGTCTGGGGGGCGATTATTACACATTCATTATGGGCTGGTAATTCAGAACCAGCAGAGCTATGTCAAAATAGACTGGAACCCAAAGAAAGGCATTTCCCAAGTGAAGAGCAGAAAAACCTTTTCTGAGAATGGATCTCAGAATGAGACAATCTAGCAGTCACTTGTAGGGGAATAATCAGATAGGCTGGCAGTTTCCCTCGGTTGCTCACAGCTGTGTCTTTCTTGTCAAAATCTGCGTGGAGCTGCCAAAGGTAGTCTAGGCTGGCACCAGGAGGTTGTAAAGATAGTTCACTGGGTAGGTAGCTTCAGTCTTCAGCGATTTCTCTCCTGGGCTTTTGAGCTACATGGGATATTGGAGCAGGGAGTTGCCAGGAGTGCCTTTCAGTGCTCAGCCGAGCACCAATGTGGGGCTCTGATGAGTCCTGATGGAACATGCTGGAAATCAATGTAATATGATCTGTTTTCCATTTTGAAGTTCAAACTGGAAGCAAGATGGACGATGTGTCAAGAAGATTGACAGCTGAGGCAAAGGACATAGATGATCTTAAGAAGATCAACAGCATGATCGTAAAGCACCTTAACCAACTGGAATCTGAACAGAACTAGAGAAATTGTTGTCCAAGAGCAACTGCTAACACCTTGAATTTCTCCTTATGTTACTGGGGGTGTGGAGAGTGAAGACCTGAGAAAGTGCATTTGCAAAGGTGACGGATTATCTGGATAGTGAACCCAGCTCTGGGGACTTCTTTCTGCTACAGGGATGGGAGCTACTCTAAGGCCTTGGGGTTTGGGGATAGCAGTCAGAAAGGGGTGAACTTATCCCAGCCTCATTTAAAGGTAGGGTCTTTCAGCTTTAATGGGATTAAGGGTGGCTGGCATGAAGGAGAATCGATAGTAAGCAAGAAAATTCAGCTAATACAACTTCTCTTACAAAAGGAAATTTGTTATTAGAACAACTTCACTGTGCTGATCAGATTCATGATGCCTTGTGTATCTTTGCAAATTCCTGCAAAATTTTATTTATTTAATTATACTGTGTAGAAGGGAACCAGGTGATCACTCTCTTCAATAAAAGAGATTCTGTTCAGTTGACTCATAATTCCCCAGGGTCGGGGGATGGGTGGACATTAGAGTTAGTTGTCATCTGGTGTTTGCTGTGAAAACGTGTAGTAGGTGTGTGTGTGATGGGGAAGTCAAAGAAAAAGCTTAATTCATTCAACTAATGTTTATTGAGCTTCTACTCTGGGCAAACCACCCTACTTTAGAGGTGCTTACATTTAAGTGGGGAGCGACAGAGATGTATATAAATAAAGTATACGATAAAAAATGATAAATGCTTTAAGAGAGAAGCCTAGACGCTGCTCTAGGAGTTGAGAGGAGAGAGAATCAATTCTGGGTTGTGGAGTGGCATGGGGATAAGAGAGGATCTCAGGGAGGAAATAGCTTTTGAACTAGGTCTTAAAGGGTGAGTGGCTCAACTGCTCTGTGTTGTGTGAATTTTATTTTAATATATAGTTATGTAAGCTTCATTTACTTTGCTTCTCATGAAAATAAATCCTTTCATATCCTGCTGATTAATTTAGAAGAAACTGATAGATACGTGACCTATAGCAAACTAAAGTAGGAAATTGTATATTTGTAATATTTGGAATCTGACTTGTTTTCGCACAAAAGGTGAGGCACACAGTATATGACATAAGATATGATGTCAAATAAATGAGTTTAAAAAGCATATGAGTCGTAGAAAATCTTTAATATAAGTACATTCTGCAAGTCAGTCGAAGAATGTATTGTGATTCTGTCATTTTGGGCTGATCAAAATTATTTGGGCTTAGTTGAAAATTAAACACATGCATACATTTTTAACCGTAAATACTTAATGAAATAAACCTAAGAATTTTATTTATACATTTTTGCATGCAAAAGCATTTGTACTGCATACTTATTTTCTTAAAATTGATAGATATCATGTAGAAAATTTTTAAATCTGAAATTTGTGTTTACTGGAAAATTCTTGTTGAACTGTTGACCAGGTGTGGCAAAAATCACTTCTTACTAGGATTTGTTATAACATTGTTTCAGAAACCACTAAGGATCTGATGTGACACCTCTTGATAAATACCATTTCTTTCCTTTCATCTGCTTGCTCTTGTGCTTTTTCTCCCTTTCTACCTATGTAACTGGTGTGTTTCATACTCAGTAATAAATGACCTTTATCCCAAGAAATGTATAACTTTGACAGCGTGAAGTAGTATCTGATAGATCATTTTGGATCCATCTTTTATGATTTGTACTGTCCTGCCTGCATGGCACAGGTGGAGCCATGGCGACACCCCTGACCATCGCCCCGGTCACTAATAGCCTGGAGGACTACAGTCACCACAGCTCCTGGTGTTTGGATTTGCCGATTAATAACTTCCTTTGAACCTGTTTTAGAATATTGACTGGGCTACATGTAGTCTTATGGCAGTTAAATGCAGTGGTTAGGAACATGGGCTCAGGAACTCAACTGCCTGCTTCGTATCTGATGCCACCACTTACTCTGACTTTGGAGAAGTTAACCTCTTTGCCTCTTTATCAGTAAAATGGGATAACTGTAGAATCTATCTCATAGTATCGTGAGGCTTAAAAGAGGTAATAAAGGTAAAGGGCTTAAAACAGTATCAGAGACAAAGTAGGTACTCAATAAATGTTGCTGCTTTCTGACTCATGGCGACCCCATGTAGGTCAGAGTAGAACTGTGCTCCATGGGGTATTCAGTGGCTGTGACCTTTCGGAAAAAGATTGCCAGGGCTTTCTTCCGAAGAGTCTCTGGGGGAATCCAACCGCCAACCTTTTGGTTAGTAGCCAAGCGCTTAACCCAGAGACTCCTAGAATCACCATCACCACAGCAGTGTTTTTAAAAACACGGATTCCCAATTCCATTCCATGCTTGCTAAATCAGAATCTCAGAAGGTAGGGTCGAGGAATCTGGCTTTGTTTTGTTTTCTTTGGTTTTAAGCTTCCCAGATGATTGTTTGATGTGTACATTGGGAAACTCCTGTCTTCTATTCCTGGTTGCATATTTTATTTGCACCACCAGGGAGTCCTTTGGAGAAGGATCATGCCTTAGCCTCCTCTTGGTTCCTCTATAGTGTTCAGCACAGTCCTGGGTACAGAATAGATGCTGTGTGCTCACTTGTGGACTTATTTGTTCTGAATTGTTTTTCATCGCTTTTTGAATAATCTTTTTCACTTTCATAAAAAGTAGAATTACGTTTCAGTATTGTTTTCCATATGAAAAAATTCTACTGGGAAGCTTTTATTTTCACCACGTAAGTGGACACATGGCTTTCCACAAAAAAATTGTCATCTTTCCTCTTCTTTAAAAAAAGAATGCACTTCCTTGACTCGGTGGAAAGATAGCTCACTATCCTAACAATCCTTTTCCTTTTCATGGCTTCTTTTGAGCAAACTCATTCACAGAGGCAATAGATTCCAGTTCTGTCTGATAACCTGTTTCTTTTGCTCATCCTTCTCTTTTGAATGTAGATAAGGTCATTATTTCAAGCTGGAATAAATTTATTTTTTATATACCATGACTCAGGAAGATCTTGTTTTCATTAAAATTATATTTCTAAGCCAAAGGAATTGATAATAACAGGATGGTTTTTGTGCAATACTTTCTCAGCCACCTCAGTTAGTCCAAGTGACATGTACACCAAAATTCTTCCCTTTACCTCAGGCTGTTGTTGGCAAGAACAAAGAAATGATTTTTGTGTTGTTTTGAAACCTCCTGGTTTGCTTTATTCTTGTCCAAGAGGCTTACTTTGGAGATTGTTGTCCACTGACAGAGAAAGTCATGGCCAGATGACCCTGGTTTATCCCCAAGGGATAAGTACCCTCTGTCTCCTAAGTTGCAGCTCAGTAGCCACACCAGGAAGCTGAGCCTTTTCATCCCAGGCTGCTCCACATTATTAAAGAGGGGGATATCCGACCATTTAGAGACATTAATTTTAACCCCCAAAACCAAACCCAAAATCCACTGCCATTGAGTCGATGCTGACTCATAGTGACCCTATAGAATAGAGTAGAACTGTCGCTTATGGTTTCCAAGGCTGTAAATCTGTATGGAAGCAGACTGCCACATCTTTCTCCTGCAGAGCAGCTACAGGCTCCTTAATTTTAGCCCCCAGGGAACACTAATAGTCTCTTGTCAAAGGACCCATAAATTGTCTTCAGCAGAACCCTCCACTCTCTCACTTCACTACTTTTCTCCTCATTCGCATCCCATCCCATCCCCTTACCTCCAGTCCCTCAAGTCCAGTTTCCTCAATGTGTTTGTTTTAGGCTCCAGTTTAAGGGGTGATTTAGCTTTTCTGAAGGACCACTGAAGGCTATTCTTTTTTTTAAAATTGTGCTTTAAGTGAAAGTTTACAGCTGAAGATAGTATCTGATACAAAAATTTATACACATACTGCTATGTGACCCTAGTTGCTCTCCCCATACTGTGACAGCACACTCCTTTCCACCCCAGATTTCCCATGTCCATTCAACCAGCTCCTGTCCCTTTCTGCCTTCTCATCTCGCCTCTGGACAGGAGCTGCCCATTTAGTCTCATGTATCTACTTGAACTAAGAAGTACACTCTTCCAAAGTATCATTTTATATCTTATAGTCCAGTCTAATCTTTGTCTTAAGAGTTGGCCAGAAGGCTATTCTGATAACAAAAGTTGTGAGCAAGAACCTGGGGAACCCTAAGAGTAAGGAATCTGAGGAGAGTCTAGACAAAGGTTCTGCTCCACTTACTGCCTGGGAGGGTTGGGAGAGGCAGGCTGAGAGAAGCAGAGCTACTAGGTTGGCTGTACATTAGAATTGCCCCTTCCTGAGATCTACCCACACCAATGACCTCAGAACCCACCAAGTCTTTGTTTTGAGTAGGAAACTCCTGTCTTAAATTTTACTATCCTTTGATAAGAGACTGTCGATGTTCCTCGGGATTGAGAATAATGTCTATGAATAGTCAGATGTCTCTCCTCTTTGATATAACAGTCACAAATGACTTAGAAACAACTCTGCTCTTCAGAGACACTGGGATAAAAAATGCAATCAATCAATGCCAAAATATACAATAATCTAACAAAACCAAAGATGATCCTGTACCGTGAACTGTGGCCAATGATTAATTCAAACCTCTGCACACAAGGGGGAAAAAACCGGTTGCAAAGAGCAGTGACTTGGCTCTTACTTAGTGTAGTGAAATTCTAAAAACTGCAAAGAAAATAAAACATGTCTTAAATTTAGCTGAGTGTTCTGTCTTTGCAAAAGAGTCAATTTGGTCAAAATTTGTCTTATACCTGAGTTCAGGGGCAGATTATCCAATAAGCAAGGTAAACAGGGCTTACTGGTTCTTACTTGCTAATCTAAACAACTTCACATGGGTTTCAACACGCCACATCAAAGTGAAACCCATGTGAAATTGTTCACTACAGATTAGTAAGTAAGCACAAGTAAGCCTGTGCTCACCTTGCTTATTGGATAATCCGCCCCTTTCTGAATTACATTCACCACTGAGGAGAAATCAGATTGGACCTACAAGAAATCACATAACTGGTTAGAAAAAAATTCAAGAAAGCTTTTACTTTTGTTCCGTGCCATCTCTCTCTTTTAATTAATTATTTTTTATTGTGCTTTAGATGAAGGTTTACAGAGCAAATTAGTTTCTCATTAAACAATTAATACACATATTGTTTTGTGACATTCATTGCCAACCTCACAACGTCAACACTGTCCCCTTCTTGACCTTGGGTTCCCCATTACCAGCTTTCCTGTCTCCTCCTGCCTTCTTGTCCTTGCCCCTGGGCTGGTGTGCCCATTTAGTCTCGTTTTATGGGCCTGTCTAATCTTTGGCTGAAGGGTGAACCTCAGAAGTGACTTCAGTACTGAGTTAAAAGTGTATCTGGGGGCCATATTCTTGGGCTTTCTCCAGTCACTGTTAGAGCAGTAAGTCTGGTCTTTTTTTGTGAGTTTGAATTTTGTTCCACATTTTTCTCCATTTCTGTCCGGGACCCTCTATTGTGATCCCTGTCAGAGCAGTCAGTGGTGGTAGCCGGGCGCCATCTAGTTGTGGTGGACTCAGTCTGGTGGAGGCTGTGGTAGTTGTGGTCCATTAGTCCTTTGGGCTAATCTTCCCCTTGTGCCTTTGGTTTTTCTTCATTCTCCCTTGCTCCAGATGGGGTGGGATCAGTGGAGTATCTTACAAGGCTACTCACAAGCTTTTAAGACACTAGACGCTACTCACCAAAGTAGGATGTAACATTTTCTTTATACATCATGTTATGCCCATTTAGCTAGAAGTCGCCTGAGACCATGGTCCCCAGCCTTCAGCCCAGTAATTTGGTCCCTCAGAGAGTTTGGATGTGTCTATGAAGCTTGTCAAGTTGTACTGGCTTCCCCAGTATTGTGTACTGTCTTACCTTTCACCAAAGTTACCACTTATCTATTGTCTATTTAGTGTTTTTCCCTCTCCACCCCTCCCTTCTAATCATCAAAGATTGTTTCTTTCTGTGTGTAAACCTTTTCATGAGTTTTTATAATAGTGGTCCCATATGGTGTTTGTCCTTTTTTGATTGACTTATTTCACTCAGCATAATGCCCTCCAGATTCATCCATGTTGTGAGATGTTTCGCATATTCATCATTGTTCTTTATTGTTGCATAGTATTCCATTATGTGTAGGTATCATAGTTTGTTTATTCATCCATCTGTTGATGGGCACTTAGGTTGTTTCCATCTTTTTATTATCGTGACTAATGCTGCAATGAACATGGGTGTGCATATGTCTATTTGT